GAGGGAGATGGGTAATCATTTTGTTATGAGATGGTGGGAGTTCTGGCTCCCTACTATTCTTCTGTGAATATCTTCCCAGTTGGAGGGATAGGTCTTCTTTGTTTCTATATCTTTTGGTTTCCACTTACATGACCTGGGACTGAGTCCCACCTGTGACTCCTGCCTGGCCCTGCCTGCCCACCAGCCTCAGCAGTCAGTGCTGGGTCATCGACCCAGCACTTACTTCAGGATTGAGTTCCGGCATTCAGTTGTCAGTTTGGTCGTTTAGGCCGTCAGAACCTCTTGCTGTTTATATAATTAGATTCCTTTTACATAGAGAGGAAGAGAAATGGAAAAAGAAAGAGGGAGAGAGAGAGGTGGGGAAGAAATATCAATCAGCTACCTTCTGCACACATGTAAACCGGATATGAAAGCCTCATTCTGAAATGTGCCCTAACTGAGAATCGAACCCTCCAGCCTTCGATACACTAGAGGATGCTCCAACCAACTGAGCCACATTGGCCAGGGCATTCTGTGTTTTTTGTTTTTTGTTTTTAAATGTCCAGGCTTTTAGAGAACAGGCCACTAGGATCAATGAGACTAGCACAGTGGCTGATAGTGGTAATGCTAACCCTTTTATTTATTTATTTAAATATATTTTTATTGATTTCATAAGGGAGAGAGAGGGAACGAGAGATAGAAACATCAGTTATGAGATAGAATCATTGATTGGCTGCCTCCTGCACGCCCCCCAGCAGGGACCGAGCCCCCAACCTTGTCATATGCCCTTTCCCAGAATGGAACCTGGGACCCTTCAGTCTAAAAGCTGATGCTCTATCCACTGAGCAAAATCAGCTAGGGTTAACCCTTTTGTTTTAATACATTTTTATGGATTTCTCAGAGGAAGGGAGACAGAGAAAGAGAGATAGAGAGAGAAACATTAATGATAAGAGAGTATCACTGGTCAGCTGCCTCCTGCATGCCCCCGTACTGGGACTGAACCCACAACAAACTGGACCTGTGCCCTTGACTGGAATGGAACCTAGGACGTTTCAGTCCCCAGGCTTACACTCTATCCACTGAGTAAGCCAGCTAGGGCTGACCCTTGCTTTATTTATTTACTCACTTAGTCAGTTAGTTAGTTAATTATTATTAACTTTTACTAGAGGCCCAGTGCACAAAAATTTGTGCACTCAGGGGAGGGGGTCCCCCATCCCGGCCTGTGCCCTCTCGCCGTCTGGGACCCCTCGGGATATAACGACCTGCTGGCTTAGGCCTGCTCCCGGGTGGCAGAGGGCACGTCCAATCCCTAGGTGCAGCCCCTGGTCAGGCTCAGAGCAGGGCTGATTGGGGAGTTGGGGCGCCGCCCCGTCATGCACCGAGCAGGGCGGATCAGGAGTTGCGATGCCCCCCTCAGTTACGCTCAGGGTAGGGCCAATTGGGGGGTTGGGACACCGTCCCCTGTCACACTCAAGGCAGGGTCGATGGGGAGGTTGGCGTCGCCACCCCCTGTCACACACAGAATAGGGCTGATCAGGGGTTTGGGGCACTGCCCCCTGTCACTCACAGAGCAGGGCCGATCAGGGGGTTGTTGCGCTGCCCCCTGTCACTCACAGAGCATGTCCCATCAGGGGGGTTTGGGCTCCGTACCCTTGTCACACACAGAGCAGGGCCGATCAGGGGGTTGGAGAGCTCCCCCCTTGTCACTCACAGAGTAGGGCCGATAGGGGAGTTGGGGCACCGCCCCCCTGTCACACACAGAGAAGTGCGGATCAAGGGGGTTGTTGCGCTGCCCCCCTGTCACTCACAGAAGCAGGGGCCCATCAGGGATTGGTGTCACCACCCCTTTGTCACAACTTAGGGGCAGGGCCAATGGGGAAGGTTATAGCTCTACTCTGTCACACACAGAGCAACGCCCATAGGAGGAGGGTTTGGGGCACCACCCCTCCTATCCACCCACAGAGACGGGCCCAATCAGGGGGTTAAGGGCGCCGCCACTGTCATCACTCGGGCCAGGGCCGATTGGAGAGGTTTATGGCTCTACCCTGTCACAACACTGAGCAGGGCCATTCGGTGGGTTAGGGCCGCTCGCAACCATGTTCACACACTA